CTCTCTGTCTCTTTCTGGCAAGTGCCCCTATAGCAATACAACAAAAAGGAGAATAACTACATTGACCCATACATCCTTTGTATATTGTTTACATTTTTTATGGATAATTTATATTTCTTCCAAATCTAATTTTTATTTTTAAACATTTCTTTTTCTTTTTTGTATTTCAAGTATTTTTCATAGACTTTTTTTTTTCTTAAGTAGTCTTTCCAAAGAGGATTTTAGAGTAGATTTAAGATACATTTAAGGCATTTGACTTTTGGGTATATTATCTTAATATTGATGTGCACACTGTGGCACACTTTCTATTTTCCTGAGTAGGTACAATTATAACATGGAAACTTTTTTTAAGGCAGAAACTAAGGCCTAGAGTAGTAGAATAACTTGTTCAAGACCACAGACTCTGTAGAGAGAAGACAAGGAAACAAGATTGACAATGCCTATCTGTGGGGAGTGAGCCTAAGGTGTGGAGAAGACATTTTATTGGCCAGAATTCCATATTTGGACAGAATAATTAATTCAGCAACTCACTTCTGACTTCTGAGCTCCAACTCTAGTGACGTCTTATATCTTCTTTTGTTTGTCTTCATTTTTCCCTCTGATAATAACAGCACCAAAGGAGACACTGAAAACATGGCCTTTTGAATTATATTTGAAATATAAAAAAATGACTTTTAATGAAATTCTTTTTTAATTCTATGATTATGATTATACTGACAGCCAAGATAAACTAGCTTTTTATAGTTATTCTTTTACATTAGCATTGTGTGTTATTTTTTTACCTCCATGGCAATTCAGGTTTCTGAAATAGAGAAGACTGTGGTCTCTCAGATTCATTATCTTACAATAGATCTAGTGAATACTCATATAGATGGGCAATTAATTTATTTACTTTGGATAGAACTACCATATGACCCTGTAATCCCATTCTTTGGTGTTTACCCAAAGAATAGGAAAACACTCAGCTGGGAAAATACATATACTCCATTTTTGTTTTTAGAATTATTTATTTAATTTTATTTATCATTATTATTTTTAATTTGCCCACAAGGCATGTGTGCTCACCAGAGAGAGACAGAGAAAGAGAAAGAAAATTGCCAGGTCTGGACTCAAACCATGGTCTGCCATGTGGGAGTCCAGCACCTTAAATATCATGCCACCTGCTGGCCCCTGCACATCCTTGTTTATTGTAACATTATTCCCGATCACTAAAATATGGAATCAACCTAAATACACAAAAACTGATGACTGGGTTGAAAAGTGTGGCACAGATATACTATGGAATATTACTCAGCTCTAAGAAACAAGGAGATCCTATCTTTTGATTCAAAGTGGATGAATATGGAAAACTTAATGTCGAGTGAAGTGAGCCAGCCTTTGAAAGGGATACACTGTATATCCCCACTTAATATGTACCAAATATCTGCACAATTTGGCAGAAATGGAAAGATCTGAAAATAAGATAGCATAAAAGATGGAGTGTAGATACGAGAGACTGTAATGGAGGGGAGTGAACAGTACAGAGTGGGTATTAGAGGGTGAGTGTGAGTTACAAATGGAAGAAACACATAACAGACAAAAAAAACTATAAAGTTCTCTCTTGAAAAAATATGTATTATATACATCATGATGGGTACTTTCTGTAAAATATGAAATTAGACAACCAGCAGTGGGCGTAATGGCTGTGTTGCTGGACTCCCATGTAGCTGACTGAGGTTTGAGTCCCAGACCTGATGGCTTAAACTCATGCCAGATGTGTGTGTGTGTGTACCCAAGATCCTGAGAGGAAAATGGAGGAGAAAGGATTGCGGCATGACTATCCCCCCCGGGGGTGATTTCTCACTTTCTGTCTGTCTCTGTCCTTCTGACAAAAGCACGTGCTCTGTAGCAAAAACGTCTCCAAGAAGAGAAAAAAAGAAAAGAAAAAGAAATTAATCTGAAAACAAAATTATCTTTGAGGGAAAGTATAATTTTCTAACTTTGGAGTGAGAAAGAGCCTATTTCTATCAAGGTGACACCAACAAAGACCTGCTACAACGTGAATTTATAGACAGGTTTATTGTTTAGTGTTGTAGTGTGACACGATTATATATTGTCTTCAGATTTTTGGATTTAGTTAATACCTTCTAAACAATAGATAGTCCTGATGTAAAGTTGTTTTGTAGAATAAATAACACTTATATCCAAACAACATCTCCTCTGGTTTGATACATCTTCTAATGTATGTAATGCAATGATGACCTCACCAAAATTTTCATTAGGTTGTGTGATATCTGTAAGCTCTCTTGTCCTCCTTTGAGATCAAGCACACGGTTGGCAGTTGTGTTGGAAAGCTGGACTTTTAGAGGTGGTTTCTGGTACACTGCTCACTCTCAGTGCTGTCATAGGGTTTCACGCCAACACTTGGGTTTGACTTAGAGATGCACAAGCTGAGGTCCTGCTTCCATAGAACTGCCTGTTCTGGCGGGCAGGAGAAACATTCAGTGGTGTGTAGTCATGAAATTTATTTGCAGCTGTGCCTTATGGTGTGTCCATAGTTTATGTCTGAAAATAGCCATTCCACCTGTCCAATGGCTACATTCCAGTCTGGGATGTCTGCAGCATTTTATTGCTGAAAAGACTACAATACCATGTGCCTTGTGTAAATTAACTCTGAAACCATCCATACCTACAAAATCGCAAAAGGGAAACTGAAAATAATTTGAAATTAGGGGGCATTATGAAATGTATGATCAGTTAAGACTTTTCTTTGAGTATGAATAATGCACAAAGTAGTAGTTGAAATTAACCTTGATTATCAGAGGAAGAAGAATTAAGAAAGACATCTCTTCAACATACAAAATGCTGAAATTAAGCTCTCTAGAATAGGTTACAATCTGCATGCTGTAAAATTGTTTTGATTTCCCCCATTTTGGTGAGTTATAATACTTTATAACTCCAGAAGGCATATTTTGCTATTTCTATTAGAATAACTTACTTGAAAGCTTGTGTCTATGCCATTCTTTCATTTATTAATAAATATTTTTCACATGTCTATTGTGTGCTAGGCAATGGGGGTTCATCACAAAATTAAATTAAGCTCCTTGTGGAGCTTCAAATATCAATTATTTGGGGAGAGGAGGTGCTACAAAATGAACAAATATATAGCAAGTAGTTCCAAGTGCCAATGAAGGAAAATAAAAAAGGGACAGAAATAGAGACTAGCAGAGTGTATCTGTGGAGGAGGGGTCCCCTAAATGTAGGGATCCTCTAGAGGCATCTCTGAGGAGGTGACATAAGTGCTTTTGTTTGTCTGGGTCTCTCCTAGGTAATCTCTGACCATTCCTGAAAAGTCACTCCCATTTCTGTGCACCTTGTTGATACAGTTTGAATACTTCCTCTTCCTGATTCATTCTCCTCACTTCCTAATCTATCATTGGATCTTGTTTGCACAAATCCTCTTTTTTTGCTGAATGTTTTTTGCCTAATAGTCTAATCTCTGATTTTTCAACCCTTGGTGACTTGGTGTATACACTAGCTCTTAGAGTTTCGAGTTAATTAATTGTTTAGATTAATACTGTGTCAGCATCTGCAACTTTAGAACTGAATTGTTTTTACATGTTCATCTTGAAGCCTTTTTTTTTTGGAGAGGTTTTCGCTATAGGGCACCTGTACTCGCCAGAAAGACAGAGAGAGACAGAGACAGAAAGTGAGAAATCACCCTTCAGGGGGGGATAGCCATGCTGCAATCCCTTCTCCTCCATTGTCCTCTCATGATCTTGGGCATGCACACACACACGTCCGCTTGAGTTTAAGCCACCAGGTCCAGGACTTGAACCGCAGTTGACTACATGGGAGTCCAGCGACATAGCCATTACACCAACTGCTGGTCCCTTGAAGCCTTTTTTAACCAGCTCTTTTAAAGTTTTGAAAAGAGGGAGAAAAGTTCTGATCTGAAGATTTCTTTACTATCTTAACACGCAGTGTAGATGCAGCCTTTTATGTGTGGAATAATTTCCTATTTTCCTCTGGAAAGATGCAATTGGCCTCAGATTCCTTAAGTTCAGTTGCTTATTTTAGGCAGCCTGGAAGCAGATTGGAATGAGAGAAAATTCTGGAATAAGTGGCAATGACATCTGATAGAGTATTACAGTGTGTTAGGCAGCAGTGACATAGGTAATATGGGTTTGATATTTTCATATTTACTCCTTGACCTTGAGAAACGAATGAGAAATATTTGTTATTTATGTCATATTGCGACTTTTAGATCAGAAATAGCCGTGGATATTAAAAAGAAATGAAAGATTTTTATCCTGGAAAAGGAAAACATAATTTGATGTTGTATTCTATGCATTGAGTCAAAAAGATATTTGTAGTTAGTCAACATCTGGTATGATAGGTTTAAAAAGCAATTTTAGAAAATGTAACTAAAGAAGTACCATTCTTTTTTGTGTATTGGAATGAAATTGTCCCATGCTAGTAAAAAAAGAAAATAAATAACAAAGGAAACAAATGCTTTTAAACGTTGCTGTGATGGGGGAGAAATACAGACTTTCTATTTATAACTTGTACTGAGTCCCACATAAAAATAGCTGCAACTAACAGATTTGCTCATATCTGGAATACTAAGTTGTCGCTGCCAGTGATTTGAGGAATTCTAATAAGAAGAACAGCAGCATTGGTAAATATTGAAAGTTTATCATATATTCTTTCCCCCCAGTTTTCAAATGTGGAGAAAATTACAGTTAGTGGAAAAGTCTTGGCCGCTGTATTTTTATAGCTTGTTATTTTCCAGGCTGTTGGTCTCTCTTTTTTTTAATGAACATGATGCATTTTTCACCCCTCAAGCATACCTCATGAGGTGGATATGTTATTGGTTGTATTTGTGTTAGTAAAATAATTTTCAGGCTAACAGATTTAATATTTCATTCTTCAAGAAGCTCATTTTGGGTGATTAATGGGACAGCAAAGATATTAGAACCTCAGAAATTAATAAAAACTACTCTTTCTCTTATTTTCAGAGAAGCTTCTTGGGCTATGCGAGTTTTAAAGTGGGAGAGCTACTGAAGTCAAAGGAGCAGCTGCTGGTCCTTAGCCTGAGGTAGGTCTCTTTGTTTTCAGAAACTTGTTAAAGTCTATAACCCATAGTATTGATTGATGGTCAGTATGACTGAAAGTCACAGTTCTTGTAGATGGTGGATGTCAACTCTTGAATGGCTTATGGTCTCCACTCAGCAAGGTAGAGTGAAACAGCAATTATTCAAGTTCACTTTCATGTTTCAGACCACAAAAGTTATTATTTCTCCTAGGAAATGCGATATTACATTATCATTAAAGCAATGAAATTCATGCCAGCCCTGTAGCCTATGGTTTAAGAGAGCCGGATCCCACATCTAAACCCTCAGTTCGAATCCCAGCCCTAGCAGCTTGAAAAACACTCTGGCTACATGTGTGTGTTCCCCCAAATCTCAACTGGATGTAGATATAGAGGAGACAGGACTACAGCATGACTGAACCCCATTAGGGGGTGATTTCTCCCTCTCTGTTCCTGTCTATCTCTTTCTGGCATATGCACATGCCTTCTGACAATAAAAACAAAAACCAATGAAAGGAGTGATGAAATTCTTTGAAAGTAAGGCAGTAATATACATTACAACCAAGTTATTAAATAATATCTCTGTTACTTATCAAACTGTTATTTTTTAAATAATTAAACTTCTACATCTGAAATAAGACTGTTAGAGGCAACATTTGGCCTTATGATAGTAGACTGCTTATTCTTTTTGTAGTTTATTTTATTGCTATACTATTAATTATGAAACACAAATTAAGGCAGACTCATTGAAATAGACAGTAGATCTCTCAGCTAATCTTGAGTATGAGTATACTTTGTTTTTACATAGAAGATGAGACAACAGTCTTTGGGAAGTTGCAGAGTATTATTAATAGTAAAAACAGTATTAAATAGGGTAGATATAGATGTGTCTTTTTAAATTAGCAGTAAACTTGAAAAGAGTAATCTGGTTGCTTTTCCTAACTGCATAATAACTTTTATAATTCTGTGTGTGTGTGTGTGTACACACAAAATACTGCCTTGTAATATTTGAATAGTACAAATGAAATAGAAATTGCATGAGATGCTATTTATAAATCATGAGAAGCTCTTCTTTTGATAAAACGTGGAGGCCACTCTCAGGGCATCAGGCATGTCTAAGTGTGTTTGTCCCTTCTCCAACAAGGACCTTCTCAGAACCAACAACTGATTTCAGTAGAAATGCCATGACTTACATTGTACTTGTGGCTTTCTCTTTTTCTGATGTGTTCCTTATCCTTACAGCTATGCATTTCAATCTGATGGAAGACATAATGTAAAATAAGTCCAAGCAGAAAACTTTGTGTTGGTGAATTCTAATAAGGTCGCCATCTTCTCTCTAGCTTCTGTTAGGTTGTGTCCTTTAAACGCCAAGTGTTGCTGTGGTTGTTATTTTGTGTGGAGAGACATAAAAAAACCTTTATAGTTTTGTGATGTTATTCCCAATAAAATGTTGCTGCTGTCCTTATTTTCCGTTTGAAAGGTGAAAGGCCAGCTAAAAGGCTAGCTGTCAGTGTCACTGCTATTCCAGGACATATCTATTATCATCCTAGCATGGCCCTTAGATCTGACCCTGCTGCTTCTGGATTCATGAGATGAGATGTCAGGACAGCAAACATTGAGCTAACTTAGAACTAGGTACCAGACGTTCATGTGTTTTCCAGACCAGATACATAGGGTTTTCTTCCTCATCTTGCTGATCTACAAGGCACAGTATTGAGGATGTCATAACTGCAATTAAGATTCAGCCACCTACTACATAACCCTGTAACATTTAGATAACATTTTGGAACAGAAATCAGGGGACCAGAAATTTTCGGTGAAAGGCAAATTAGTAAACACATACGATACCCTAGAGACAGTGTAAGAAAGCTCAAGTTTAGAGTATTACTCTTGGAAGAAAAAAGAAATATAAAACTTTCACTTTTAAAGACAAGAGAGATTTATATTTTTAAATTTCATACCTCTGATTCTTAGTCATTTAATCTTGATTTTAGAAAAGAAAGACATTCAACCACAAGAAGCTGAGTTTTTGGCAAACAAATAATTTAAAAAATAATTTTGAAATGGATAGGTTATTACTGTTCCCCCTTTTTATTTTTGTCCAGTTTGTAGACTTCTTTCCCT